TATTCAGAAAGTTCTTGCTTATACCTGTGTCCTGCAGTAATTTTCCTGTGTTTCCCTTTAACAGTTTCAGTGTTTCAGGTTTTAAATTGGGTCTTTGATTTGTTTTGAATTGTGCAGAGTGAGAAATACAGATTTGTTTTCATTATCCTATAGATCGATATCCAGTTTTGCTAGCACCATTTGTTGACTAGGCTATCTTCTCTTCCCCTCCCCCCCCCCCCACCAACATTTGTTTTGGACAACTTTACCAAAAATTAGATGTCCATACCTATATAACTTAGTCTTATATCATTCTGCTGGTGTACATATCTAATAATCAAGTTAACAGGAAAAAAGTGAGAATCAACTGCCTGGACATTTTTTTCCCCCAGTCAATTAAAAGTCACTATTTCATGTATAGCAATAATCTATCTCAGACTTAGCACTTACTTAATAACACTTAGTAGTACTTAGGAGTGCTTAGTAGTACTCAAAATATTCTTCAATTAACTGAGAATTTCTTAAAATGTGTTTTGATGAGATCTACCCTCAACTCCTCTCACACCTCCCCTCCTCTTCCTACTCACCCAAGTTTGAGTTTTGAATCTTTTCATTCTCCATTTCCTTCTATCCAGTCCAGTGTGTGTTGTGGGAGTGGAGCCTACCAGTCGTCAATCCTAAATGGGGCTTAAATATCACACATCCCACCAAGCCTCAGGGAACCGCTCAGAAGTGAGGACAGGGAGATTGTAAGAGCCAGAGGGAGATGATGACTTCAAGAAAACAGTGTTTTCTGCCTTTAATTCCAGCACTCAGGAGGCAGAGGCAGGTGGATCTCTGTGAGGTCAAGGCCAGGTGGGTCTACAGACTTGAGTTCTAGGACAGCCAAGGCAACACAGAGAAACCCTGTCTTGAAAAACAAAAACAAAACAAAACAAACAAAAAACCCAAACAAGCGAAAGAACAGTATTTTCTAGACACAACAAGGTACAGAAATTGTGACAGCATGAACATCAGGGGCAAGCCCAAGCCAACAAAACCTCATCATGGAAGCGTGGAGAAGGTGAATGCTAACTATCCCTAGCCTAGGAGCTACCGGAAAGGGAGGGGCAGTTTTCTTCAGTCCATTATTTTAAAACCGTGGCTTGTGTACAAAGTTACCTTGTTGCCCCAGTGTTTGCAATGGGCCCTTTTTTTTTTTTTTTTTTTTTTTTTTTTTTCTGCATTGCTGATTTACTTTTCTGTGTTTCCCCGAGTTTAGAATCAGGGATTATCTCCATTACCTGGGTTGCCAAAACAAGGCCCCAGAAAGCCCCAGGTTTGGCGCTAAGCTATAATAAATGAGTCTGGGGTGATCTCAAAAACATGACCACACAACACCAAGTGTGGGCTGTACTTCTGCAGAAAGGGGTTTAGCCACACTTGGTTAAGTAAGCAGGAAAGTCCACCCAGAGGGAGCCCCACTGAGATTTTATTCCTAATGCACTGTGCTGCCCTTTGAGTGGTCACACTGGCAGTATGGTCTTACGGGATTGGCTAATATAGAGAAGCAGTTTCCGGGAGACATGAAAGGAACACTGATCTTGAGTTCAGCAAGTGCTGACCTTGCAGGAACTTGATTTGCCAAATGGCTTTACAATTGATGTTGTTGTCATTAATGGATTTTGCCCTTTTCAACCCCTTGATAGAAAGGACAGTGGTTGCTCTTCAAAGCAATTCCCAGCACTCACTGGAAACTTCAGTTCCTGGGGATCTGATGCTCTCTTCTGGCCTCCACCAACACCAGCCATGCACATGCAAGCAAAAGATCTACATGCAAATGAACTAAAATTAAAGTTAATAAAAAACATCGAGTTTACAGTTCCCACAGTGTGTTCACCATGTAGCCTACACACTAAAATGAGTCCAGGAGAATGAATTATCTTTACCTTTATTTGATTATTTTCTTATACAGCTCTGACACTGACACTTTCTTTAAAAAAAGATTATAACTTTATGTAAATATTGAAGTTCAATAAAATAACTTAAAAAACATTTACATGTATATCACTAAATTCCATAAAATATACCATATTTTTGATACAGCATAGGCTAGCATGATTTGGTAAATGGGACAGTGGCAGTTTTCAAGAGATAATTCTGTATGTCACAGGTAGGAATGAAAAGACTAGATTTGCTAAGATATGTCAAATATTAAACAGTATATAACATGCACTCAGAAAATTAAAATGTATAGTTCAACATACACACGCCTCTAAAAGCTTGAAACTCCTGATTTAATAGAGATGTATATTTAAGAGTTCCTAAATAGAAATTAGAACATTTATTACAAATGGTACTGTAACATCAAGAGAGACATGGTACAGGAGCCACCAGAAAATCTGGACATGTATATAGGACATAAATTTCTAATTTGGCTACAGTTAACATTGTATTGTCTAAATTTTAGTGAAATGGGATAATGTTGAATTTAGCAAACTCTTAAAACTTTGTAAAGTATAGATTCATAAGTTTGGATACTGATTATCTGCACAGTTCATTTTTTATTCTATTTATATGGATATGACAAAATCAATCCCATGAACCTAACTGTCTAAAATGTGAATATTATCTACAAACGATGGCACTGAAAATCCTGTTGACCGAATTACTCAAGTGCTATAGACTGTACTGTACACATGTGAAGATTTAGAGAATTATCCTGCTCTGTACTCACAAGCACAGTATGACGACGATAAAAATACTTCTGGGTATTTTCAAAAGTGAACACTTATAAAGCGACTCTCTGGTGATGATTGGCACATGCATATTTCCTTCCCCAAACAGCACACAAGGAAGAGCTGAGCAGGCAGCTACTTGGCATTTGCAACTGCTTGCAGTTCCCAGAAGGTGGCAGCACTAGTACTTGCCTTGGAGAAATGAATGCCCCCCCCCCACTGTCCAACCTGTGCATGACTAGGGTTGGTGGAAATGGGCAGGTTGAAGGACATGAAGAATTGCCCAGAGAACAATTCTGAGCCCTGTATAGGCAGTTGCTACTTTTGAACTATGAATTTCATCCATAACTTTGCAGCTTAAGGTAGAATGTAGGCTAGTTTTCTAGAGAGAATATACCAGGAACCCTCTACTCCTGGCCTGGTTGTACCATCTAATTCTTTTGTTCCTAGTTAGGGAAATGGTCACAAGGTGGCAACTGAAAAGTTATTACACTCAGCTACTAAAGAAAACATGTGGGTGGCACTATCTAAAACATCACTTCACCCTGCTCCAAGATTTATAATTATTAACAGTATATTTTGATTTTACTTTGCTATTATAAAGTAAATGGGCAAGTTATCAATTTGTTTTCCCTGGCCTTCCCCCCCTGTATAATAGATACTAAAATTATAGAAGAAATCTATAAATTTGGTGCTTTCTCTCACTTGAGAGTGAATAACAAGTATTTTTTTTTGTTTTTGTTTTTGTTTTGTTTTGTTTTTCAAGACAATGTTTCTCTGTATTGTATTGGAGCCTGTCCTGGAACTCAGCTCTGTAGACCAGGCTGGCCTCAAAATCACAGAGATCCACCTGTCTCTGCCTTCCAAGAGTGCTGGGATTAAAGGCGTGTGCCACCAATGCCCAGCATGAATAACAAGTATTAAGACTGTATCCTAAAGTGTGTTTCACTGATAAATTATTTAAAATATTCTGCTATCATTCTCCTGGAAATATCTTTTATTTAGATCACACACAACAATCAAAATTATTACAGATGTTTACATGGAAGAAAAATACTAACACCAAATCTTTTGAGGCCAGCACTCTACCACTAAACTGTGTCCACAGCACATAACCCCAAATCTTTCTGACAATCATGCTCAACAGTATGTGCTTATATGTAGACAAATGATGTATTCTTAATTCTCCTACATATTAGTTACCCTGCTAGGTTGCAGGCATGGTCTTAACCTTCTTTGCCCAGTGTTCCCCAAATGAAACACGCCAGTATTGAAATTGCAGCCTATCTGGAAAGAAAGCTACCATTGCAGTGGCAAGCACATTGCTTCATCTGTCTATTTTAACATGGTACATCAAATCCTATCATATAGAAATTGTCCTACAAAATATATGTTTGATGATTTCACATGGTTGGTTTTCAAGTTGGCAGTTGACACTAGAAACATAAAAGGTGTTTAATAGAATAAAAATCTGAAAATTCCAACATTGAACTTTTAATTTGCTATAAATGTTCACCAAATCTAAAAAGCATACCTGGAATATAGAAGGCTCCTTTTCAAGTATTGAGTTGCTTTTTAAAAGTTATAAATAAGACATATGTGCTGCTCTGTCTTGTATGCTAAAGGTATGGAATATTAATATATAAACAATTTTTAGAAATGAAGAAGGGTACAGGGGCAAGAGAAATGTGGGCAATTTCCCATTATTATGTTAATTTATGCAAGAAAGCTGAAAACATACTTGTTATTGTGTCACCAACAACAGGTCAAATCCAGCTTTCAGGACTAATGACTCTAGCTGTCCCTTTGGGTCATGTGTGGTCCTATGTGTCAGCCCATGTGTCCTATGTGTCAGCCAGCTGCAGACATGTGTGTACCTAAGGCTATGTGGACTGTGAAGGGAAGAATTGAGGCAGCAAGTTGAACAAATCAGAAAAATACACTTTTAAAAGAGTCACTTTACTCATTTTTCTTCCCATAGTATGCTAACTATACCACATAATACCTCATTTGATTTTGTAAAATACTACCGAGTTAAGAAACTTTTTAAGAGATAAATATCAAATAATACTTCCTATTAAATAATATCTTCTGTTCTAGAGAAAAAATAGTACTAATATCTCTATAAATAAATTTCAAAGCACCTAATTTGAGGAAAAAATCCAAAATACTATATTAATTTTTTTAAAAATAAAATTAAATAACCAAACAGAGAGAACTCCCTCTTTTGGCTTAAGGGTTTGTAGGTCACAAAAGTGACTGTGTAAGTACCTCTGGTGACTGGAGGATAAGCTTTTTTTTGCTAGCATCTCAGCTTGGTAATTATGGTAAGAATAAGCCAGGCATTAAAAGAGGAATAAACATTTTGGAGACTGGCCAAAATATTTCATTTTATTACTAGCCTCCCTTCACTTGGATATGGAACTTAATTAGGTGTTTAAATCATTGTGTAAAACATCAAACTGATGTGTTCCTAACTGGCCATTAGATTCATCCATAGTTTTAGAACTAGTAAATGAGTTTTGTAAGCATGGAGTTTTGTCTGTACCACACATAGCTCTTAGTAGGGTGGCGAGAACTAGGAATTCAGTGTTGGATGAACATAGAAACCACCAAATATTTTGAGAGATAGTGTCAAAAGGTAAGTCAACCTGTTCTACTGACTGTAGATTATAACCTATCTATGTCTTTTCCTAAGGAGAAACCTTGGTTTTTAGAGTAGATAGAAAACCAAACCAAGAATGAGATAAAGAAACAGACACAGCTCTGAGTTTTGGTTGTGTAGCAAATTATTAGGAATGAGAAAAGACAGAATTAAAACTAGCTTGTGTTTTCTCAGGGAAAAAACACAGTAATTAGTAGTGAGGTGTGCTCCTGTCCTTAGGAAGAGCCAAGAAAATGTGGAGAAAGAATTCTAGAGTTTAAATTCAATGTCAATAACTGTTTCTGCCACTGACTTCCTTCCTCTTGTGTATCAGAAAGAGAAAACCAGGCTGCCCGCAGCTGTCACTGAACACCAAGGAAGGCACAGAGCAGCAGGAGCCTGGGGGTGACAACATGGAGAATCTGGTGTGCATTAAACTGGCCCTGGAATACAGTTGACAATCTGACACTTCTGTACATTTACAATTGCATTCCAGTTGTGCATACAATTGTGACAAACGGATCAAGATATATAAAAATCTGTTCTTTCTCACTTTAACAATAAAATATACTTATCAAAACATGCTAGCTTATCTGTGCAAATATACTCATCACCAATGCAAAAAAGTATGAAAATAACCCTTAAAGGGCCTGCTTTGGATAGTGTTCAAAAGATCCTGTGTATTCAGTCTCTGAAGAAATCACTGTGTCTGCACTGGAGACAGACGCCAACATCTGGAATCCAAAGGAGACAGGGACAGCTATGTCCTTATAGGACTTCTGAATTTGTGGATGGAAGTTTAGATGGAATTCACTTTGTACTAACTCATCATAGAAAAGCCACTACTTGGTATGAAAATTTAGGGTCAATAGACCATGTTTTAGCATTAAATATCTTTAGGTCATTTTAAATACTCCTTTATAAATATACATATATAATCTGCCTAGATTACCACTGGCTGTATTGCTACTAATAATTGTATATGGTCTTAGGAGAAAGGGGTCCTACTGAAGTCACCGGGTACAACAGTAATGTTTAGACGGTCTCAAGAAGGGATTATACACATTTGCTTAAGAAAACTCTGTGGGTTTTTTTTTTTTAGCATTTCTGTTTATGAAAATAAACATGACCATGGTTGTATTTTTGTCCTTGTCGAGTCTTCTAGAATATGGAGTCATTCAGAAGGACTGTGGGGAGACTCGGCTTGCAAGCAGGGCAGTGACCAAGTGCTGGTCCTTCTCCCACCTTCAATTCAGTAACGAGAATGTCACCAGCTGAAAATTACTCCACATCAGAAGCATCGTTGTCTGAGAGATGGTAGTTACTTCCCTTCACCCGGATGTATTCAATGTATCTCCCTTCATCGGAGTCAGAAGCGCCACATGTACATAGCCTGTTGTCAAAGAGTGATTCAATTTCCTCCAACTTTTTTCCTTTCGTTTCAGGAAGACAGCCATAGACAAAAAGCAGTCCCAAGGCTGCAAAGCCAGCATAGAGGAAGAAGGCTCCTGCAGGTGGAAAGGATATAATGAACAGCCCCAGTGTGGACAGTCTCCATTCTGACTCGAATATAATGTATGAAATGCAACCAAACAATGTCTGCTAGCCTGCCTTACCTGGTTGTTCCAGTCCTGTGTCTATAATGCAATTAATCTTTCAAAACTGAAACCATGTCAGCAAACTGAAGAAGAGTAGACCAGGCTTGTAGGCAAGTTCTTCTCGGAAGTCTCCCTCAGATCCTAGTCTCAGGGGACTTGCTCGCTCCCAACTGTTTTCTCAGCACTATTTTTAGTAATATAATAACCAAGGGGTCCTCCTATACATAGGTACAGTCTATCTTGTCTCCTCAGAGGCACGGAGTAGACCAGGCTTGTAGGCAAGTTCTTCTCGGAAGTCTCCCTCAGATCCTAGTCTCAGGGGACTTGCTCGCTCCCAACTGTTTTCTCAGCACTATTTTTAGTAATATAATAACCAAGGGGTCCTCCTATACATAGGTACAGTCTATCTTGTCTCCTCAGAGGCACGGAAGGTCAGCAGGGCAGGCACTTGGTGTGGAAGCCTGGGATCTCAGCTGGACCCTTGGAATACAGGCACAGGGAGAGCCAAGTCCACCAAGTCCTCTGACCCACGTGAAATGGGGCACGTGTGCCCATACACACTCGATACATTGAATAAATAATAAAACATGACCAGGGACAGGCTGCTCTTAGAGATCAAGTAAAATAAGCACAACTAATGAACTGGAATGCTTTCATGACAAGGATGTTCCTGACAGGCTGACCCTTGGAAAGAGCAAGAATTTTGGCTATAAAAAGAGATAAAAGGGGTGAAAAAAGAGAAAGATGAAGAAAGAAAAGAAGAAAGGAGGGAGGGAGGTAGGAAGGAGGAAGGAGGAAGGGAGGAAGGCCTGTATTCTGCAGTAGCAACAGAAATGGAACCCCTTTCTTCCTCACTGTCTCCACTAAGTGCTACAGCAGCCTAACAAGAAGTAATGAAACCTGTCTATACCAAGGGCTGAGCTACTCGGGTGGACAAGGAAGACCCTCATGGACAATGAGTGCTTGGGCTCAGATGTAATTCACTTGGTGAGGTGCTTGCCTAGGGTGCTTCATGCCCTGGATTCAACCCCAGCACTATATGAACCAGGCCTGTGGGCACCTACTCTTGAAATAGAAGTATGAAGATCAGAAGTTCAAAGTCACTACATGAACTTCAAGGCCAATTTGGGGGAAATGAAAAACCATGTCTCTCAAAAACAAAACACACCAAGAAACAAACACCACCAAAAGCAGTTTACTCCCTGAAATGCAAATCCCCAATGGCAAACAACACCCAAGAAATTCCACTGGACAGAAAACCCTAACAAATTCAGGAGACCAAAGCAAGCAGATAAGCTATTGAGGACAGTGATGGGCTACCAACAAAGTACCCACTTCCTCCACTATTTCTCCTTGCCATGACAATAAAAAAACAAATAAAACAAAACAAAAAACCACAACCTTCCATGAGATGGTTAATTCAGAGAGATTCCTCAGTATTTTTCTGAGAGACATATTATTGGAACCCTCTCTTAAATTCCAGATTAAAACAAATATTTACTACATACACAATAATATTTCAATTTTAATACTTCCATACTGGATAACTTTAATATACTGCTCATTCCAGGATCTGTTAGCTACACGGGTGTACACGTGCTCGGTTTGTGATCCACTGGCTGCGTTGAACAATGGATTTTGCTGAACAACCTGCAATACAAGTCTCCCTAAATAAAATCCTCCCTAAGTGATGGTTAGGAAGGAAGCAAAGTTTGAGATCTTATGAAACAATTTTTAAAAGGCAGAAAAGGGTGGGAGGGTGGTGGCACACGCCTTTAATCCCAGCACTAGGGAGGAATAGGCAGGTGGATTTCTGTGAGTTCGAGGTCAACTTGGTCTACAAAACAAGGTTTGGGGCAGCTATGGCTGTTACACAGAGAAACAAACAAGCAAGCAAGCAAGCAAATAAAAAAGCAGGAATAATAAAAACACATGCTTATAAATTATTATCATGTTTTAATATACATGATAATGATTTATGAGCATGTCTAACAGGACTGGACACATGTCCCAACTGTTTGAGTATTGAAGCATTCTCAAGAATCAGCAAAGACAAATAACATATATCATCATGTCATAGAAACAAGCTCATGAGTTTAGGAAATGTTTTTAGTTGTTAAAAGAGAAAAGCTGTTTAGTTGTTAAAAGAGAATATTCTAAATACACCATCAGCTTATTATGTCTTAGGCATTTCCTTCCCAGGAAAATAAATGTTTCTATATTAGTGTTTCTTAACCTGTTGGTCATGACCATTGGAAAACACATAGTTCCATTGGTCTTGGGAACTGTGACATGGCTCAGTAGCAAAATTACAGTTATGAAGTAGCAATGAAAATAGTTATGTGCCTTCTGATGGTCATTATCCGCAGGCTGAGAACCACTGTTCTAGATGTTCCAAGTTTAATTTTGGAGTTTTTTTCTCATGTCCTTATTTCTGGAAGTGGTAAGTGCTGGGCTCCAAGGTGTCTTGGCTGGAACAGACCAGACCATTCAGTGGCACAATGTCCCAAATGGATGAGCTACTTTCAGGTCTACACTAATGCTGCTTAGGTGTGGGGATCCATCTCTCCCATAGGACATCTCATCAGTCCTGTCTCCACGCACGGTCTTAGCATGCTTCCTTGTTAAACTGAAAGCTGTGCTGTAAGGATTTCTGTCCTGGCAAGTATGGGGGGGGTGTTTGGACTTTGAGTTGTGGGGGATACTCATAAGCACTTGCAGACAAGACACTTAGGAAAAGAGAACTTTTCTCTCAAACACATTTTCCAGAATCCCTGGAGATGGTGAAAGCTACCCAGATATTCATGGAGAGCCAAAATAGAAGGGCACAGCCTCTCCCACAAATTATGGGGTACCTAAGGACAGAGTATTCAAAATAACAGTGAAAGGACATTGAAAACACATGCTCTTACCATAGTATGTGAGATACTCTGCTGTGTGGAGAAAGGTCAGTGAAATCAGGACGTTGAAAATCCAGTTTATTCCTGCTGAGCATGCATTTCCTGTACTTCTTGCCCAGAGAGGATAGATTTCAGAGTTCACTGTCCAGGGCATTGGTCCCATTCCTGAGAAACAAATAATTAAAACTGCAGTAAAAATCCCCTGTGGAATGAAATACACTAGCCCTTTTCTAAGAGAGGACAATGCAGTGCAAAAGTAACAAAGTATCCACTCACCAGGTGCGAAGAAAACCAGATATAAAACCAAACCCAGGAGTGTCATCCAGTAGTACTGGGTGGGGCAGAAACTGTAGGCCCAGTGGATATCTTCTGTTTTGAACTTGGTTTCATTTTTACACCTGAAAAACATGTATTAATTTAGTGTTTTAGTATGTAGAAATTTACATGATTGTGTTAGATGTGTTGGAAATTCTCCAATCTCCTAAGTGGGGGAAGAAAGGTAAAAATTTGAGATCTCTTGCTGGGCATTGGTGGTGCATGCCCTTAATCCCAGCAGAGGCAGGCAGATCTCTGTGAGTTCGATGCCAGCCTTGTCTACAGAGTGAGTTCTGGGACAGGTGCTAAAGCAATACAAAGAAACCCTGTCTCAAAAAAAAAAAACAAACAAATAAACAAACAAATAAAAAATGTGATCTCATGTCAAGGACATTTGCAAATAAACACGTTAAACTGAGAAGGAGATGTACATGTAGATGTAAAAGCACATGATTAGAGCCCGATACAATTTCAAAGTGGCTGTGCAATTCCTTTTTCACCCAGATGACATAAATGAGTCCGGCTTTCTAACTTGGAGCTGCATTAGACAAAGCAACCCAGAATGTCCTGCATTGTTGCCTATGACAGAAAGGTTGGTTATCTATGCAGCTATGAGTAACTGAAAGGGCAGGTACCTTAGGAACAGGCTCCTGCATTCACCCACCTTCAAAGCCTCCTTTATTTTCAGCTAGAACTCAACTCAATGGTGCAAGCTGAGCATGCCCAGAGGCATTTCTGTCCATCAGTGTAATTGTTCACATATTCATTCCATGACTTTGAGCTAAGCAGCTCCCCAAATATGTCTTAATATAGTTTCATTGATTCTGCCCTTAAACTAGCATGCTCCATATGACTTAACTGAGGCCGACTGCTCATAGGCTCCCTAATGTGCTTCCCGAGTTTAAGGATAACATCTCTTTGGCTTTGGAAATAGTTCCCCTGCTCTAGCATTCATAGGTGATAATCTTCCTCCATGGTCTCATGTCTAGACTCAGCTTATTTTGGCTTCGCCTTCACCGAAATGCCAACCCAATACATTTGGTTACAAAATCAGATCAGACGCTGCTTTTAGAAGCAGAGTTCTATCATCTGTAACATGGTGGGTGATAACTTAGGATTTTCAGGCTCATCTAAACAAAGGATGGTCATAACTGATTGCGAATAGCCATCTGCCTTCTTGCCGTGTGTCCTTGCTTCTCATCATCTACTGCTGACAAGCATGTCACCTTCCATGTTCAATAACAGAGTGTCAAATTGAGCTCAATTTTATTTACTTCAATTGTCCCTATAGACACAACCAATATTAGAAACATCTGGATCTCACCACTTCGGAGCTGGCAAAGCTGTGAGACTTCTTGCTGGGCCCTTAGGAGTCCTTGTTGGTTGCTAAGCATGCTCACTGTATACTCTATTTCCTTCTCTGCTGAATTATTGACTTATTTCAGAAGTGTTCAATAAACTTTTATTAACGGAAGACTCAACTAATATTTCCTATTCTCTTCTAGTCCTGAAAGTTCTCCCTCTGTGTTTCTTTCTTTCACTTTCCATGAAAGTTCTCCATAATTAGTGGTAAGCTCTTGTGGTCACATGGGGTACCTCTCACCCTTCTTGGGGACTGCAGGGGCTCTGTACCCCCCCACCCCATGCTCCATATACTTCCTCGGGATTGTATTCTACCAGTCATCTCTTCCTGCCATCTTTAGCGTCTTCCTACTGGAACCTTCCCTGCTGACTTTTACTCATAAGATCACTGCCACCCAAATGGCCACATGCTCTCATGTTAGTGCTGCCAAAATCAGGGGTACTTAGGCCTCTGGTGTATCCTCCACTCAGATTCCATATGACTTAAGCAGCCTCTTTTTTCTTCCTAAAGCTTCTTATCTCCTAAATCTGTAGTGGTCTCTTAGCCACAAAACTTCATATTCTCTCTCTCTCTCTCTCTCTCTCCTCTCTCTCTCTCTCTCTCTCTCTCTCCAAACAGGCAAACAAATGCTAAGGAATCCTATCCCTAATCAATAAGCTATCTCCAATTAGCCTCCACTTACAAAGGAAAAATTAGTTTTCTCCAATGGAGTTTCACTGGGTGGACAGACCACACTTAAGGACAGGCCCCATGCCCAGCAGTAGATGGTTAGGACAAAATTAACTCAATGGAATTTCTGTAAACCTTTTGTCTCATACTGTTTTGTTTTCACCTTTCTTGTAGATTATGGTTTCTGATTTTGTGTTCTTAGGATTTTGTGCCTGTGTACACTTATTATGTACGTTCTAGTATTACTTTTTTGCCTGTTTGTATGTTTTCTAAAAAGAGAGAAAGAAAGGACATGGAGTTCAGAGGGTGGGGAGATGGGGAGGATCTGGGAAGAGTTCAGGAAGGGGAAACCATGATCAGAATATATTATATGGATTTTTTCAATAAAACAGAAACAAAAACAAAGCAAGAAACACAAAGAAACCCCCACAAAAATAAAATTCAGAATAAACAAGTAAAGACTAATGTCTTAGTTACTGTTCTACTGCTGTGCAGACACACCATGACTAAAGCAACCCTTATAAAATAAAGTATTTAATTGGGGGCCTGTTAAGAGGGTTATTTCATGGTAATCATGGTGGGAAGCAGACAGGAATGGTGCTGGAGCAGTAGCTTACATTCTGATCCATGTGGTGGAGAGAGAGAGAGAGAGAGAGAGAGAGAGAGAGACAGAGAGAAGAGAGACAGAGAGAGACAGAAACTACTGGGCCTGCCATGGGCTTTTGAAACCACAAAGCCCCCTCCAGGTGGCACACTTCTTCCAAGTCCAAAGAGGCTACAACTCCTAATTCTTCTCAAAAGTCATATTAGCTGCAACCAGACATTCAAGCATTCCATGGCTCCCATAGGCCTATCACAATGCAAACACTACAATCAGTTCAAAGTCAAAAAAATCCCCCATAATCTTTCCTTAATACTGTTTAAAGGTCCAAAGCCTCTTCTAAGACTTGTGGCAATCTCTTAACTGTAACCTTCTGTAAAATCAGAATAAAAACATCAGATCACATGCTTTCAGTGTGCAATGTCACAGAATCCCAAAAGGGTGGGAAGGGGCATAGTGAGGAAATACTGGTCCAAACAAAACACCCCAAAAGGCAAACCCCACATTCTGCATCTCCATGTCCAATGTCAAAGACCTATTCAGATCTCCTGTTCCTTCTAGATTTGTTGACTGCAACAGAATTTTCTCTCTCTTGGGCTGGTTTTACACCATATCTGGCAGGAAACCCAAGGCTCTGGCATCTCCAATGTCTTGGGAGTCTCCAACACAATCCAGCCTTTACTTTCACGGCTTTTCACCATGGCCTCTCCCAGATCTACGTGCTAGGATAATCCCTTGCCTTGTACCTGGCCTCAGCAGCTTTCCAAAACCAGAAGGGAGAAATTCACAACCCCTTCCTTGTATCCTTCTTGACCATATGACCAGAACCATATGGCCAGAGCTGCCACTTTCTGCCACTTGCTGGGGCTACAAACTGCCTGCCTGCTATAATTACATTTCCAGAGACTTTCTGTTGCTGTTCAGGCTTAGGAAATCCCTCAGGCTTTTCCTTGGCAGGATTAGCTCCTGGGATCTTGTCCTGTACTACTTCCTTCATTCTATCTAGCCTTACGCATTTCTTTAAGCTTCTCATCTCCTTGAGTACAAGACTTGACTCCACCACTCCATTTTCTGGTATTCCTATTCTCCTCACACTGTATATGGTATAATTCTCTTTGCCCTGCATGCTCTTTTTCATTATTGATCAGCTTAAGAGTGATCACTGATAACCATGTGACACAGTCCATATTAGGCTGTCCTGAGATCTCCTCTGCCAATGGCATTAATTCAAAAACTCTTCAATTTAGCCTCAGGCAGGTTTTTCAGTTAAGGACAAAAAGGAGCCACATTCTCTGCCAAAACATCACAAGAAGGGCTAAAGGATACTTGTTAATATTCTTTCCCTCTGAACAGTCTGAATTACTGTCTTCTAGGCTCCTAGAGTGGTCCATCAAGCCACGCTCAAAATTTTCAGCTGCTTTTCCAGTTCAAAGTCCCAAAGTCTTCCATATTCCTCCACACAACAGCATGGTCAGGCCTGTCACAGCAATACCAACTTCTGTCTTAGTTACTGTTCTATTACTGAGAAGAGACGCTTAAAAAAGAAAGGCTCACCATGGCAGGATGCAGACAAATATGGCACTGGAGCAGTAGCTGAGAGCCTTATATTTTGATTTGCAGCCATCAGAGAGAGAGAGAGAGAGAGAGAGAGAGAGAGAGAGAGAGAGAGAGAGCGAGAGAGAGAGAGAGAGAGAGCGCACAGCTGAGCATAGCAGAGTCCATTCCATGACATACATGCTTCCTCCAACAAGGCCACACCTGATCCCTCACAAACAAACACTTCCATTAACTGGGTACCAAGCATTCAAATGTATGAGCCATTCTCTTTCAAACCACCACAACCAATGAGTCAGAAAAAAAATGTCCAAACAAAGCAGAATGAAACTAAAGTTCACAAACATGCCCCTGAGTTTATTTTATATTGGCCAACTAATCCTAGGCAAGGTGCCTATCCTGAAGCGTGGTTGATTTACCTAGAGACAATCTGCTGAAGAAAACTGGTTTTCCCTTTGCCAACAGGTATCAATTACAAACACTTTCCTAGCTAGGGTAGTAGCCCGTGTCTAATTCCCCCTCAGAGTGCTGAGACTGTCTCTGGCTTGAATCTTTATAGCACGTGTTTGTACTGTCAATCTCTGTGAGTTCATGTGTACATCAGTCCTATTGTGTTTGGAAGACACTTTCTTTGGAGTCATGCATCACTTCTGGCTCTTAAAATCTTTCTGCTTCTTCTTCCACACAACTTTCTGAGCCAGGAAGGGAAGGATTCTATAAAAAAAAAAAATCCCATTTATAACTTAGTGCTCCAAATCTCTCACTCTCTGCTAGTTGTCCAGCTTTGGGTTTCTGTGTTAATGCTTATATACCATAAGAAGAAGCTTCTCTGATTTGGGTTGAGTGAGGCACTGATCTATGAGTAGAGCTGTACATCATTAGGAGTCAGTCCTTTT